CTCAAATTTCTATAGTTATGTATAGCCTCTCAATTGATCTATAGTGACAATCATTACCACCAATAAAATTAAAGATGCAGTGTAATCGTTCATGATATCGTTGCAGCTGCTGTACATTAATGCCAATCCATGCATAATTCTGGACGCAGTACGTGCGGCATCTCCATTTCTGGACTATTGCAGTCGATCGATTCTATTAACGGGCTACTACTTTGATGATGTTCGATAAATGAGAAATATCATATAACGTGCAACTGAAGATCAGTAATATTCTCTCTGATGTTCGGATGAATGTGGTCTAATGAGGTTCATTTTCTCAGGTATGTATACCTATCATGGAAGAGTCTTCGCTGAATCACGAAGTTATCATTGAATGCAGCGATAGAATCCATGACAGTTGGAAATTTACTGCATGTAATGATACTTCTAATGGATAACTGCAACAATATTGACATCCCTATCAATATTGCTTTCATTCCGACGTTTGGAAAAGATAGAGCTGGGTTGAAAGCATTCTGGGAAAAAATGAATAATGACAGTTTAAAAGATTCATGCGGTGCTTTATTGTGCTCGTGATATTATCTTGTACGTTACATCTAGATAATGTGGTCTTGTGCAATGTGGTTTCACCATCGTAGATAAGGCCGACCGTCGAAACAGAGCCGAGAATTTAACTGTTGCCATCAGCTTGCAGACTGATCTGTTCACTAGGAAATCGTACAACTGATTGAATGGAAGATAACAAAATGCTTCAGCGTCCTCCAGAATTTTGGATATATTTTGAAGCTTTGATCGTGAATTTCCCTGAAGTGTTTTTGATCGAATTCATCAATTTAACATTTTTCACTTCTGCTTTCTGTTACCGCAAATCATGATCAGATTCGACGAATGCGCTCATCGGATCGTTTAGTGCTTTTTCTTACGTACAGATTTGAAACTCTGCGTATGGATGGAGCGAAAATTGACTTTCTTATGTGTAGAACGATGTTCCAGTTTCTGTAAATCCGTTTGCTTTATTGGTCGTCTCAGATTTGTGTTCCATGTATCAGATTTCCACATCTTTGACAAAAGGATCAGCTTACGTTGATTTTGAGATGGTGAGCCGAAGACCCCAGCTGATAACTGCAGCACTTAATCGTCAAACGTTTCACTAAATTTACATATTCTTCGGAATTAGGTGACACGTTTTCATAATGACATTTCAAAAATTATCTGTCATTCTCTGTCAAGCATCTTAAGAAACGATTGCAACATCATAGTAGTAGCGTTTTATTTGCTCACAATCAGGAGTAATATTCTGGTCCACAACTTTTTTCACTTCTTTGCGAAAGCTCAACTTTTATAGTATTCATAGAACTGAGGTTTGAGTGAATGATCGTCAGCCGAGACTTTAATGAAAGTTTCATTGAAATGACGAAATTCGCTATCTCTTAATCGATTTAAAAATGCTTTCAGCATCTTATTTTCATGTCATCTGTTCAGATGTTTTCGCTTAGTCGTAAACAATTTTGCATCTCAAATTTCCGTAATGTGCAGAGAGCTCCACGAATTTGCCTGACAATGAATATATTGATGGATGTGTTATTATTGCTATCGAATTTCTTAACGAATACATATCACCGCACATCATCTCATTCATTCATCAAAATCGATCACAAATATCTTTGTGCATATACCATGAAAAAATTCGGAAGCTTGTATGTTCATTGTTTAATGGAAACAACATCTGTTCTAGCCATTTTTCACTCTTTGATGTTTCGTCTATTGTTCATCAAAGAGAACTGCTTAATAAAGAGATGAAATCAAACTCTCCATATTTTGAATCGTTTTCAGAAAGAGGAATTGAATTCTTGAGATCATTGAATTCNTTAATAAAGAGATGAAATCAAACTCTCCATATTTTGAATCGTTTTCAAAAAGAGGAACTGAATTCATGAGATCTTTGAATTCATTCAAGTGATTGTACAGGCTCAATTGACTGATCGAAGTGTATTTTCATCGTTCCTTGCATAATGTGGTATCTTTATACCTTGAAAATACAATTCAAGCGACCAGGCCGGCAGACGTGGTATCTGTACACCTTGAAAAGACAATTTAAGCCTAGCTGCTAAATGCTAGTAACCATTTTAAATCAATGTTCTCATATAATTTCCATCAAATGCACAAAATCTTTGCATTCAATCGGTCGATGGAGCACGATTACATTGCAAAAGCACGATTACATTGTAAAAACTGTCAGTGTACTGATCGACTGAATGAAATGAACGGAATGATTGTATTTTCGGATGACTGAGCATGCATGATGCAGCAGATGTTGAACACTTTTATTTTCGATACAATTTTTTGTCGTTCGTAAACGTTGATTCATTCGCAGTGTGTAATGATAATGAGTAAAGGAAGCAAACAAAAAGCATTACACTGAATTTGCATCATTTCAATTCGTCTCAGATTTACAGTCCAATCTAACGATAAGCTAATTCTGACCAAGCTTGTTACTGTTACAGCTCAGTGTTTGTGAATTCTTCAGTTTTATTATAACTATCAAGAGATCAAATTAAGCTTATGTGATGAACAAACTATCGCAAGTGACTACTGTTCCATGATATGAACAAAATATCACAACTATTCATCATTCAATAAATCGTTTATGAGTAGAACTACTGACCATAGTTTTACTGATGATCACACCAGTTCTATGCACTGAATTGATTGCTGCAATTTGCAATCGCTTTGGAATGAAATTACTGATTTTTTTACTACTCACTATTATTACAGCAAATGGTTCTTGTCACTGTCTTCATTATAGTCGCTGTTGTCGTCGTTAGCATCGCTAATATCGCCATCGTTGGTGCTGCACGTGAAGTTCCATTGCAGAAACATTGGTTGCTCTCCTGATTGCTCCAAGATATGCCAATTGGACAGCACTGAGCTGTAATCTCCAGTCAGAGGATCAACTGCTGTTCATGACTAGTACCTCGGTCAACGGCAATGAACGATAAGCATCAGCTGCTTCCGAATATGCATTTTGTGCTACCTGGTCGAGATCTCCATCAGGTAATTGGAAAATGTTATTGGCTGATTCTTGAAATCATGCTTCTTCGTTCAATGAATCACTTGATTGATATGCGAACCCACCCAGTCATCAGTGTGATTGTGCTTTCGATGAATCATATGACATCTTTGGAAATACGACTCTGGGAGCTAAGCTAAACATCGATTCATGTTTATCAGCTCATTCTCGAATTCCAATTTCCTTCTGACCAGTTGCTAGAAGAAATACGAGTTTCCCATTGCTAACATTTATTTATTGGTGTCTTATATAATTTGAACCTGATCCTTCGCACAAACTACCTTTTCATAACTTTCATCAGATTCGCTGAATGTTTCGCCAAAGAATCTGCATCCAAACAAACACCTTCAGGAACAAGATTTGCCGTTACGTTCAGACTGGCGTTTCCCTGAGTCAGGTGCGATTGTTTTCGGTAACGTTGAGATTCGTCGCACTTTAGCGTTATTTTGGACACGAGTCTATAATCGTTTCTGTGCGATCACAGACCATGGTCTCTTACTGATATACGGTGACAATGAAAGAGGTATCCCCGTAAAAACATTTCATATTCATAGATATGCTTTGAGCACTTCAGTGTAAAATGATGAATCTGACATTCCGCATTTGAACTTGTTTCATAGTTCGTGAAAGTAAGATCATTAGATACTTTTCAGACCATAAGCGATTGAGACATTTTCCGGAATTTCATGGTCAATAAGACTTTCTAGTGCTTGCTCTGGAACAAGGCTAACGCAAAATCGCTCCTCATACTTCCTTTTTTTCTGAAGAGTTCTCATGAGCAGTTGTGAGATTATTTTGATGACGAGAAGTTATTGATTGTTTCCAGGAATAGCAATCGACTTGAAGGATCTTCGAGGCATTCATTCAAATATTGTTGACAAGAAACTCAGCAACGGAACTTTCATGGTTCGTCCAAATTTTACTATTTCTCTACCTCCACCTGAAATATTATAATTGACATGTTCACTTAATTCACTTCATCAAAATTTCAACCTGAATTCATCTCACAGTGATTGTTTTCAAAAAATCACTTCATGCTCTCGTATGATTTTTATCCCAATATTATAACTGTAATAGTCCGTGTCTATCGCATCAAAGAGTCAAATCTTCAAGACTAATGAGTTGAAAGATTTATCTTTGCATCGAACTTATAGCCTCGATGTCTGATAACACTCCGTCACAAATGCGGTGATTCGCTGGTGATGTGCGTTCGTGGTAAAAATGAAATCGCAAAATGGCGTTGTGCTATTTGGAGTGTCATTCAATCCGATGATCACGTAATATTGCTCATCTTCATTACTCGTTTCTATTCAGCTTTGTCTTAAGAATTCGTGGTATTTGAAAAGAAAGTACCATTAGTCGGTTCATTAATCAATTTCTCGCTCAACGCATAGTAATTAATGATGTTGAACTCATTAGGGTATAGTTTCCAGATAGGATCTTCAGTTAGAAATTGATACCGTCTAATTTCAGCAGCATTCATCAATTGCTCCAAGTCATGCGCTGAATAGACGAAGTGTCTCGGTGAGCAACGCAACGGACGCATCAAATTTTCATTTGACACCACCAACAGATCCTGATGAAGTTGACTATTGGAGTCAGTTTTCATGTGCCTTATCACTGATCAAATGAAGCTGATTTTAAATTAAGCTATTTCTAAATTGCTATTTCTAAATTTCTAAACCTATTGACTCTGTCCAGAAATTTATTTTACGGACAAGTTTTGTATTCCACAATACCCGTGGAACGGGTCTCTTGTTTCGTACAGTTCCCATGGAATTGCTTTATTTATCATCGGTTAAGCAATAGTTGCTGAGAATTTGATAACTAATTTCTGGGGATTCCATGTTTGCTGACATCGAATCATGAATGATTCAACGTCAGAAAACCAAACAGTTCGTTAGTGATTGACCTCAAACTATTGTTCCTTCTGAATACCATACACCTATTCGTTTCACTCATGAACGTTGCCACTCAAACTTCTCATCTTCCCAATCTATCAGATAACCCAGCATCGGGTAAACCGATGACTTCGCCAAAGATCTATCGCGCCCTCTCACAACACGCCAGTATGCATCGTTCGGCAATGAACACCAGTGCATCACACTCGAAACTCGCCATTTCTTCATCGTTTTGTTACGGTAATCGAAAGTCATTTCGGAAGGCCTCTGTATCGCCACAGAAAGAATTATTTCTCAAGAAAGCCAGCACAGCGATGGACATTCTCAGCTGTGGACGTAGCACGCAAACACTACCAAGTAAAGCAACCACATCACATGAAAACCAGCCACACTTCAGAATTGGATCTTTGCGAGTCGAAAAGTATGTTTTCACCTAACCTGATCATCCTCATCTTCTGATCTAATTTCTTACCTAAACATTTTCGGTCCTGATCAATTTTTCATGTTCTGTTCGAGTGTCGTATTTGACTTACTACTTACGAAGGAGGAATACCATTGAGAATAATGCTGACATTTAACTGTGAATGACAACAGATGAAGGGATTTTGTCACGTTATGTTTCGGGCATTTATAGTAATTGATGAGATCGATTTGGACATTTCGGCTGACTTTCAGAAAATTTACACCTGAATTTTCTGATTTCAGAAACTCTTCAACATCACCAATGCAATGTTCACCGAGCGGTGATGATAACAACAGGAGTCCTAAAGGTGGATTGTCTTCCACAGAAGAGACAATAGCTCAGCAAACGCATGTGAAAATGGAATCTCAATCATCACCCCAAGCCCGGCCGTCAACTGCGTCCTCAGATTCCGGTGTGGCTTCTCGTGCTGAATCACCGTCGAAAATGATCCTCTCATCTGAGGGGGTGAGCAGTATTCATATATTCTATTTTTCGTTCAAGTATTCATTTGTTGCCGGAATTATTTTCTTCAATGTCTCTCGAAAACCTATTTGTTCATTTGAGAGAACCATGGGAATTTGAATTTCTCTAGAAGAGATACAATTTGTGTTGATATAGGCTGAGGGGAAATGAAGTAATTAGTTCATTGCTAACGTGATAAGAGAGTTTTGTTATCTTGTTTATCACTTATTTGTTCTGTGCTCATAAGTATCCTTTTATGATCATCAATAAAGCGACTGATATCGTAA